CCATCATACTGTCCTTTTCTTTTCTTTTCTTTTCTTTTTTTTTTTGTCTTTTTTTTTCTTTTTTTCACTACTAAAAAATACCTCTTTTTCGGACATACTATTTCGGTCAAGCAAAAATCTTAACTGAAATAAGCCTCATTTCAAAAATTTTAACTGACTGAAACACAAAATTGTCCGTTTTATATCATCTTTGATGAGTAATTCGGTCAAATATTATTTCGGTTAAGTATTTCAACCGAACTAATGAGGGGGAGTTCCTCAAACCTCATATTCGGTCGATAATACTGATCGAAAAAATGCAGAAAAAAAATACTCCGCTATCAAAATGATTAATATAATCTAACTTGGTCTATTTCGGTCAATAATAATGACCGAACCTTAATTCTGGTTTTGATTTGATTGATGATGAATAAAGCTGATTTTTTTTCTCTTTTTTCGATCAGTAAAAATGACCGAAATAGATGCACAGATATCATAGCTCTGCGGCCTGATAGAGTATGCAGGAAGCTTGAGCCTTTAAGATATTTTTCCCACTATTTTGGTCAGTAAAACTGACCGAACTAGTGCAAGTATCAGGGGCTGATTTTCTTTCTCCTATTTCGGTCAGTAAGATTGACCGAAATATATGCACAGTTCATTCACAGATCACGGGCCTGTGGAGTTTGCAGAAAGCAGGAAGGTTCAGCCTTTGAAAATTTTGCCTCTATTTCAGTCAGTAAATATGACCGAAATAGTGCAAAATGTGGGTTGATTTGATGGAGCTTCAGCTTTTCAATTTTTTGCTAGAATTAATTCGGTCATAATTACTAACCGAATTAATCTTCTACTCCCACTTCCCCCCAAATTTTTCCGCCGAAAATGTTTGAATTTTTCACCTTTTTATTTCAGTCAATGATATTAACCGAAATAATATTCAACTTATATATACATCAACCCAGACTATTCTATTCACTTCTCCAACTTCTGCAATCTCTCTTTCGTTTTCTTTCTTCCTCTCCAACTTCCAGTCTTTTCTTTACCTCTTATTCTTCTAACTTTCAATAATTCTTTGCAAATTATCATTAATTACTTCTTTATCTCTTCAACTTTTCTTTTTATTTTTGTTGTTCATCACAATTTTTATTTCTCTTTAAGTTTTATACATATCTTTGCATATCAAAACCAATGTTAATTCCTTCTTTACCATCTGTTTTATTTTCATTTTTTTATTTGTTTTATTGTGTAAAATTATTTTTATTTTTTATGTTTATTATATTGTTGGTTGTTTTAATTGTATACTAATGATTTAATTTTTCATTTTCAAGGTTTTTTAAGGTGGTGAACAATGGGACAACATTTTGGAGGTAATTTTCCATTTTCATTTAATACTTTTCCTTAAATCTTTATTTTTT